CAAATTAGAATAGAAGCTTCTTACAGTCTGGAAAGTTTCTTTTGCTATCTTTCTCTCCTATTGCACCATTTGGCATATAATATGGAAACTGCAGCTCTTCATGGAATGAATGATAGTGTTAATCATCTCTAAAAAGTCATTGGTTGCTTTTCATAGAAAAGGTGAAAACCCTTTTAAATCTCTTTTGTCATTGGCTTTGCTCCTTCCCTATTTCTCTGACCTCCAGCTTTGTATCTTATGTTTTCTGGTGCATCTGTGTTGGTATTAATAATTGCCTTACCTGGCTTTGCTTGAACTGTGTCTGTCTCCATGACAACTTCTCAATGACATATATCGACAGAATGCATCTTATTCATTAATACAGGTGTCAAATTTGAGTTAAAATCCAGTCTTCCTAAAGATACATTTTGTGACAAATAAACAGATTTCCCATCCAACAGGGATTGAGGTAGGGAAAAACTGGTTTTTATTACTAACTTGAGATTGCAAATTAGCACTGTGAACTTCAGCTGATTCTTTAAAGCCAGAGCATTAGCCAATGATCATTGACTCTGGCTGGTGTCTGGATTTCATCTGATGCACATGCTGTTTGGGTGGCCTGAAACATGAGTGTGTTCTGTGTGACAGGCCTGACTTTGCCATTGTTCCTGGCCGAAATTGACAATGTCCCCAGGGGGAGTATCTTAGCACCTCAGTCTAACTCTCAGAGGGTATTGGATCTTGACACAGACCGTACTAGTTGTAGCTATGGATATATATATTTTTTAAAAATGGAGTTGCTGGTATAACTAGCAGTAAATCTCTTGGGCTTTAAAGCAGGTTCCTCCCTACCGCAGGCCTTGTTTGGCTCCAAAACATCAGCGTTAGTCCAGCCAGGAAAGCCACAGATCCCTGTGGGAATGCAGATATTGGTTCTGGGAGATTCCATATGCAAGGAGTGGATTCCTTCCTCCAGAAGATGCATCTCACCTTGTCTCTGTTCATACGTCATATGATGAGAGTTGCACAGGCTCCTCTTATCATGACGGACACCCCCTCTGTGCCTGCAAAAGCATCTTGGAGGGGATGGAGTGGCCATGCTGGGGCCTGATGGGCACGTGTTGTGTGAGACAGAGTGAGCTTTAAGACCCAGGCATAGCTTACTTACCTAACTCTGAAGCACAGGAGACTCCAGTCCAAAGCGGATAAATTCTAGTGAAAAGCACACTGCATTACTGGATTGTTCCTGCAAACTTAATCCGGCTCCCCACTTCCCAAGGATGTGGAAAGTGGCCAGAGTCCCTTCACGCTGTGAGCAGGTTGCCCGTAGCCAGAGGCAGAGGGATCCAACCTGCCCCCATGTCTCCGCTGGTTTTATGGGCATATTTCTCACACTCTGTTCTGCTATTAAAAATAAAATGAGGCACACATCACATGTCTCATACTGCAAGACCCATTTCCTTCTAATAAACTTCTCATTTGCCTGGGCTTTCCCTACCCTGAAAAGATTGAATCTCCAGAGGCTCCCATTATGGATTTTTAGTTTTGGACTTTCATTTTTCTCTCTGCTATTTTGAAAGAAAATGAAGTTAGTGAGCTTTGTCTGCCTCTATAGACAACCCCCCCCCCCCCACACACACACACACTCACTCACTCACTCTCTCTGCCTGGGATCCAGGAGATAGTCTATGCAGAGAAGGACAACTTTGTCCTGTTTATCTGGGGCCTCAGAAAACAGACTCTGAGCTGACCTCACCTGCCCAGTCTTGGGCTGGAACAGGACCATCCTCTTTCCATGCTGCAGTCACAGAAACCATGGGGGCTTGAGGCCTCAAAGGAACATGTTCCCTTCACAGTGGGGCTGCTCTGGGGTGACCCTCGCCTGAGGGCTCACATGCCAAGTCCAGTAGCCCAAGTGTGAGGCAGCTCAGATGGGATCTAGCAGTCAGGAGGGCGGTTGGGAGGCAGGCCTGCCCAGGCTCTCATTTCCAGGCCAAGTTCTCAAACACCCCCCAGCCAGGTCCCTCCGGGGGTGTCTGCATAAAGATACAGGTTTCTAAGATCTAGACATGGCAGGCACACCTCAGGAATGAGGCAGCGCACTGTCAACAGGAGACGACCCACTTGCTGACTGATGGTGACTTCACAGGGAGTTCAAGATTAAGTCAGAGATAGAGGAGGTCGATTGATATGCCTGGAAATGCAGTGGTCCAGAGAACAAGGGGCAGGGTGCTGACTGCAGCTGGCTACCAGCTGCCCCCCCTGGCATCTTGGGGCCTTGCAAGGTGTATGTCAGCTCTGATATAAAACCTGTTGTAGAGGCTGGAAGGGGATCCAACCTAACCCATTTTTCAGATGGGGAAATGAAGACTGAGGGGGATGCCTACTCTGGGTTGCAGAGCCAGATGACAAACTGACTTCCATGTGGGCTGACTTGCACCTCAGGAGACCCTACCCTTGCATCCTCCCACCTTTGGTGTCTAGGGGCTGTGGTCCCTGCTCTGCTGTCCTTGGTCTCTGTGTGCCATGGCTTCAAGCTGAGCATCAGCTCCCAGCCCTTTACAGGCCACCTGGACATGCTAGGAAACATATGGCTACTTTAGGGCATCTTGGGCATGTTTTGTTAATGGCAAAAGCTGAAAAGTACAGACAAACCCCTTGATTCAGAATTTGGACTGGACTAAAATTTTTTCTATATCGTCAATGGAAAAAAGAGGGGCATTTGAATAGCAGATTTATAGGGTATGAAAGAGAACACAGATTTCCTGTTCTTCTCTTAAACACTTTAACAATGTCTATGGATCCATGAAAGGCGGACTGGAAGGACCGTGGGGATCCTCGTGGCCAACCCAGCTCATTTTACACATGAACACACGAGGCCTTGGGGTTTGGCTGCAGACCTAACTAGTTAACCCGCCTGGCTAGGGTCCCGGCTCACGGGCTGGTCTTTTTTTTTTTTTTTTGCTGGAGCCCAGATTTATTCACAGAAGGCTTTCCATGTACTGAATTAGTACTGATAATGAATTTTCTACTAATACATGATCCTTATTTATTCAGGCCCATTATCCATTGAACAGCTGTCTATCTGGTGCCTCTGGGAACATGCAAAGATGAATAAAGTGTATGAGGAGCTTGCAGCTCAGAGAAGCCACAGTTTTTGTCCCAGTTGTGGTGCTAAGGTCACGTGACAGGCCTGAGTGGCCTGCTGAACAGTTAGCAGAAAGGGACAGGACTGTGGCTACTGTGAGCAATAATGTTTTTGTGTGATTTGACGTGCTCTTTTGTGATTTGGACAGGTAAAGAGGTAAGAGAGGGGTTCCAGGTGGAAGAACTGGTAGAATAGTGTAGTAGTCTGAAAAATGGCTCCTAAACTTATCAGGCCCCAATTCCTGAGGCTTCTTGCCTTTAAAAAAGGGTCTTTGCTAATGTGACTAAGTGAAGCATCTTCTGATGGGGAGATTATCCTGGAACAACTGCATGGTCATGCAGTGCAATCACAAGTGTCCTTACAAGAGGGAGGCAGAGGTAGGTCACAGAAGGGAAGGAAGAGTGTGAGCACAGAGGCAGAGTGAGACAGTCACAAGCCAAGGAATGCCGGCAACCCAGAAGTAGGAAGATTCAAGGAACAGATTTTGCCCTAAAGCTTCTGGGGCAAGTGTGGTCCTGTCCACACCTCAGTTTTGATGTAGTGATACCGATTTCAGATTTTAAGCCACCACCAAATTTCTAGTGATTTATACCTTAGGAGGTGATAACCACGGGAGGGTAACACAAATAGGAAAGAGAAAAGCCTATTTGAGAAAGGATGTGGTTCAAGGTGTTTGTGGGAGAATAGTCTGATATTTAGAAGCCCAGTGTCCCATATTAGTTTGCAGCATTCCTATAAATTTCTGTGTGAATCTTACTTTCCCAACTGGCGTGTACAGCTGTGCAGGAGAACCATGGGCCTGGTGAATGGGCCTCATTTTCTGCTAACTACTGTGCTCCTCTGGTAGAGGCAGCCAATACTCATTGATTGGCATGATGGATGCTGGCAACTGCCATACCTGGGATTACGCCAGGTTTATTGATGAAAAATCAAACCTGGCCAAGTCTGTGCTCAGATACGATTAGTGGATCGCTCATCTTCAGATGGATCTAGAATTCCCCGTCATGCATAGCAGAGGCACAGTGGATTTGGAAATTGCTCAGCCAGTCTGGGACTAACATGTGGGAGGGGTGCTCTGGAGGGTGGGGATTGGGGAAAAGCAGAGCAGCTGTGGTTGCCAAAGAGGATGGGCATCACCTGCCGAGTGAAATGGTCTTTTTGATAGCAGAGTCAAATTCCCTGCTGGCCCTGAGAGAATGTGATTAAAGATGTCTTTTGGACTCCTATGACACTCTTATCGATCTGAGGTTGTTTATAGCCATAAAACAACTGTAAATTAGAAGAATGAAATAAAACCAGCAGGACACTTTACTCCTGTCCTCCTATGAGGTTGAAGAAGTTTTCCACACAGCTCCTGCAGCAACGGGGAGATGAAATATATATATCTATCTGCAAAGGGGAATCTCATTCTCCTTGCCTCGTCATGGCTGAAATTAAGAGGCAGCTTTCTTCTTGCAGCTGAAACCTAATCCTCATCCTGGCTTAGGAAGTGTCCTTGGTGAACACGGTTCTCTGCCGGGACACTGTCTAGCTGTGTGCCTGCCATGTGGCTTAGGTGCTCAGAGCCAGTTATCGCCTCCTTCCAAAGCTGTCTTTCTTTTTTTCCTTTTCCTCCCCTCTCTTTGCTTTCCCACCCTTTCTCTCCTTCCCCTTTCTGCCCTTCTTTCTCCCCTTCCTTTTGTTTTCTTCCCTTTTACCCTCTTTTTCCTTTTCTTTCTTTTCTTTGGTCACTCTCCAGGTCACTTTTACCTGATGGAAGGGTGTTGATGTGTACTGTCACACAGTTAGGAATTTTCAGTAGACAATCACCAATCATTTCTGGGCAATAAGCCAAGTCATGTGACCATTGGACTTTTTTGCTTTTCTCTTATAGAAATCCGAGAGGCCTTTCGGGTTCTGGACCGAGATGGGAATGGCTTCATCTCCAAGCAGGAGCTGGGAATGGCCATGCGTTCTTTGGGGTACATGCCGAGTGAGGTGGAGCTGGCCATCATCATGCAGCGCCTGGACATGGACGGTGAGCTCCCCTGGCAGTGTCCCCCTGGAATGAACCCTGGCTCATCAGTGAGACCTTAGGTTTAGGCAGATATTTGGGATCACAAGACATAGGCTCGTGTCTCAGTTTATTTTTGAGGAGTGGAAATTTGGAGTAGATGACGGTTTTTCAAACAACACTCCATAGGTTTCCGGGGGACTGCATAGGTGCTTCTGGTGCTATCAGGGGGAGGAAAGTCCAGATTGCTGAAAAGTCCTTTAAAAAACAAAACAAAATACAGCTTTATTGAGACAGAATTCACGCACAAAATCCAGCCATATAGGAATATTACTTAGCAATCAAAAAGATAAACTCATGCCATTCGCAGCAATGTGGGTGGAGCTGGAAGGAATTATGCTCAGTGAAATAAGCCAGAAAGAAAAAGAAAAATACTGGATGATTTTACTTATAGGAGGAATGTCGGGAACCAAATAAGGGATCAGGAAAAATTACAATCATAATAAATTCAAAAACAAAATTAACAGACAACTGTAAATTAGAGACATTCTGCAGGGGAAGGGGAGGGAGAGGGATCAAAATGGGAGGAAGGGCCTCCCTGGTGGTGCAAGGGTTAAGACACAACCTATGAAGCAATCTGCAACCTTTGCAACATGCAATCCCCGGCCAGCCAGGGAGAAACCCATATGGTGCAGCAGACCTCTCCTGACTCTCCTGCTGCTCCCCTCAGCAGTGTATTTCAGTCAGTCTGCCTGTTCTGTTCCCCACTCTGTCTCTGGTGAATTCTCACCCCCCACACCTCTGGCCTGTACCCCAGCTCTTGTATGCAAAAAATAAAAAAAAAAACAAACAGGGGAGGGAAGAGCACAAGGGACTATAGTGAGGGGTGAACTGGTGGTGGGAATTTTTTGGGGACTAACCTGAGAGGAGAAAGCACACAGTGTACAAAAAGGAAGAATGATGTTTCATACACACACACACACACACACACACACACATGTATAAATATATATAAAAATCCATGCATTTAACCTGTACAATCCAATGATCTTTATGTATTCATGAATCTGTGTAACTAGTGCTATAATCAATTTTATTTATTTTTAAAAGATTTATGCAGGGGGTGAAAAGATTCACCAGAGACAGAGTGGGGAGCAGAACAGGCAAATTGACTGAAATACATTGCTGATGGGAGCAGGAGGCGAGACAGGAGAGGTCTGCTGCACCATGTGGGTATCTCCCTGGCCAGGGATCGAACTCATGCTGCAGTGGCTGCGGATAGCTTCATAGGCTATGTCTTAACCCCTTGCACCACTAGGGAGGCCCCAATGATCAATTTTAGAGCATTTTCACCAATCCAAAAATAGATCCTGGACCTGTGAGCCATCACCTCCAGCCCCTCTAACGCTAAGTCCTAGGCAACCACTAATCTACTTCCTGACTCTATGGCTTTGCCTATTCTGGTCTCGTCACATAACCAGGATCACATGGTAGGCAGCCCTTTATGACTCACTTCATTTACATATCATGTTTGTAGGGTTCTTTGTGGATTACAGCACAGATCACTATTTCATCTTTTTTTTTTAATGACCCAATCATATTCCATAATTTGGATATAACAGCATGTTTTTTTCCTCTGTCTTATATACTGCATTTCTACATACAACGTCACTGGGGAAAGGATTTCCCTACACTTAAATTCTGAAGAATGACCGCCTTAGATAATCTTTCAAGTTCTTTCCTTCTGTGAAAACCTAAGAGTCTATCCAACCTGGTTGTGACCCTCCTAATATTTAGATTCTGCCTTGACTAAAGGCCCAGGAAGGAGCTTTCTTACTCATTTATTTTTTTAACATACATACCCCCTTTGAAAAGCAGATTGATTGCAAGTATAGGGGGTCCAGAGTGGTGGGCTTAGGGGTCTCGGATAGAGCATGAAGAACAGACCAACTGAAAGAAATAGAGAATTGTGGGGAAGAAGGGTTTTTGGGAATAGATCAAGGTCATGGGAGGGGGATGGCTTGGCCTGCAGACTCACTGAAAGAACACAGTTCCCTCTTGTTCTCTTGCTCGACTTGTTGGGAGGATGGTAAGGGTTACTATAGGGTGAATACACCCCAAGGCCAGCCACTAAGTGCGGCTGTGGATACTTATTCCCTGGCTTAGAACAGAGATGTTGTTGCAGGTATGCTCAGTTGTAGGGGCGATCCCAGCCTGTCCTGACTGTTTTGATTTCTTGTGACCACCATGTCCATGCAGCCTGACTTGACCTTGCTTTGTATTTTAGAGGTCTTTCTGAAGCTGGCACCCCTTCTAGAGCAAATCAGATTCAATAGAATCCCATTTCAGAGATACATTTCCAGGAAAAAAATTTCCTCCTTAAAATAATAAAAGTCTTACTCTATATCTCTGTTTATGGAACTCAGAAAATTCTGGGCACTTGATTCTTCCAAAACTCCTGTAATAAGACCTAGTTAAATGGGCTAGAAGCAAATGGAATTAGCATCATTTAATGAAAATGAGCTGGGACTGTTGTGGGAGAGTAACGCCTATGAGCTTTCAGGGTCCTCATCAAAGCCCATCCCGGGTCATTGCATATTTACTCTTTGACCTTGGCTCCTGCCACATTCTTATGTGCTTGCAAATCGTCCCCAAGCCAGGAGGACTTGGAGTCCCAAAGGATCTTTGGTGATGGGTGTTATTCAGGGGACTCATCAGGATGCAGGCAAAATTTCCATCTGGGATACAGTTTGAGAGACTTCAAGTTTCATCAATTTATTTGCATCTTTCCATACTCAGCTACCAATGCTAAAGGCACAGCTTACAAGCAAATCCTGTAGAGAATCTCTACTAGTTTCTTCAACAAAAGCCCAAGTCATCAGCTATTTCACGGTGACCCCACCAGGTAAAAACATTTATTTATCTTTGAAGTGCAGCTGCCTTGAAGTTTTGTTGTGTTGGCTACAAAGATTTAATCCAGAACATATGACAGCAATGAAGCAGTGTAGGCACAGTGCTTGATGCAGTTTATTAAGTGCCTAAGTGTGGAAAGAGCTAGGTGAAAAACGCCCAGTCTGAGACCGAAATGCGTGCCTTTAAGTGTTTTGTAAATGATGCTGGAGAGTAAAATTTCCGGGGCACTGAGTTGTGGATATGGGTGGACTGTTTTGCAGTGTGTCTTTCTCTTAATGGGGTCTTTTGAGCTGTTCTGTTTTTAAAAAGTCAGATTCTAATTATATCCTTCCTGACTTCTGCAACTGGGGATCCTCCACAGAGATTTGGTCCTACCTAATTAAGCTTACTTGTGGAATAGCAAAGATTTTTATGGGGATGATGTAAAAAAAAAAAAAAAAAGAGTGTTTGGGCTGCAAATTAGGATTCTGTACCTCCTGGCCCACAGTCCCTGGTCCCTGGGGTCCTGGGACAGGAGAGGTGGCAGTGCCTCCATCCATCCCAGCTGGCCACGATTAAGAGTGGGTCTGGCACACACACCAATCTTTTCCTTTTGGGGTCCCTGCCGGTTTGCCTGATGGTGAAGTCATACCTTGGGCATGAGGCCCAGCTGGAATTAGCCTAAGTGTGTCTGTGCAACCTAAGTCGACACAGGAGGCTTTCATTAGGTGGTTCCCTGGGAGTGGGGTGCCTTGCTGGCTACACATGTAACAGTAACCTCCCTGGATTAGGGAACTCGCCTGGATTTCCTGAACACAGCCTGCAGGAGCCAGACAGTTCCAGTCTGTGTGAGGAACTAGTTTTCCTTAACATACAGTGGAAGAGAGGCAGCAGGGTCTGGGAATGCTCTTCTGGCCCGTGGCCAATTTGCTTTCAACTTCTGGGACTGACTCTGTGTTCCTGTGTGCGTGCACACCTCATGGGCTGAAATGCTAGATTAAAGTGGAAAACCAAAATACTCCTGCCCAATGTGTAGGCTTCCTCCTTGACTAAGTCTGCCGAGGTTTTTTATTGAAACTTTAAAACTCCATTCTGCATCCCTTGGTGCTCACTCTCCCACTTTTCTTTCATCAGCCTCTACAGCACAGGTAAACAGTTTGACATCAGGTAGAGACCAGGATTCACCTTTTTATAGATGCTTTTTTTTTTTTTTTTTAAACCAGTACTTACCCTTCACCCGGATTCTTGAAGCCTGGCATCTTTGGTAGACTCCTGTAGGTTTTAAGCTCAGGGTCCAACTTCATGCAAATTGGAGATCAACTTCTCTCTAATGCATCACAGTACTTACTAGTTATGAAGCATCTTTGGAAGAAGTGATGTAATAGTCACCCAAAACTTCAATCTTTTATGGAAGTGTGTTGAGAATGTGAAAGTGTCTGTGGGCTCTGTGGTCCCCCAACTGCTCCCTTCTGCTCCATCATCTCCTGTAGCTTCCTGCCACATTTACTGTGGATTAGGGCCTGGTGGATTCAATAGCCAAGGGATATTTTTGACTGCTTTCTATATTTTAATGGGTTCACTGACCACACATGATGATTTTGTGGAATGAATCTGTCTAGCTTTGCAAATAATTTCCCGAAATGATCAAACCAGGAGGGGTCCTCAGCAGCTGAAGGCCCTTGCAGCGTCCAGCTCACATTTTCTCATGCACATCCCTCCTCTTCTAAGCTGCCACCGTGTCCCCTCTGTTGCATGCAAAGAACAAAATTCCCTCTTTGAAATAAATGCCAAGGGTGTCCTATCTTTTTCCTCCTTGATTTTCCTTCTGCTCCTCAAAACTGTTGCATCTCATGAAATTCCAGCAAATTTGGAGTTTTTGAAATGAATTCTTATCTCTCAATAGGTTTGCAACTTTTTTTTTTTTTTTTAGGTTCACCCACCACTGCCTGGTTGGTGAATTTGATTCAATTTAGTTTGGTTTTAAAAGAATCTATCTAGTGTCCATTGTGTCTGAACTTGCTTGTTTTTATGGTTGGCAGGATTTACTTTTGGTTCATTTTGAGCTAAATCAATGAACTGCAGAGAACAAAATTATGGCCAGAGTCGCAGGAGAGACCTAGCCGTGTCCAGGC